GTGCCAATGGATTCCACCTCAGGCACTCTCAAATAAGACGTCACGAGTGTTTTCTTAGGATAAATCAACAGCTTCGATCAAAACTCAGAGTAAATTATTACCAGGGTTTTAAAGCTCGAGATAAGAGATTTGACATGCCTGAGTTCAGTCAGCAGAGGCTCTACTGACGAAAGCCAGATCTTCCTTTGGAACAGAGGGCCACCTATAACAGTTATTAACATCTTGTCTGTGGAGGTCAAAGGTCAGGACGGTAGGAACCATGTTTCTGTGACATCTTAGAACAAACTGTTAAGATGACCAGTAAAATGGCATTCCATTGACAAAAACCTGCATCAGGTATAAAACATCCAACAAGTCCTGTGCTGCAAGAAGTCATCAAAGGTTAAGAGAACAAAAAAAAAAAAAAAAGATCTTGAATTTGAACGTAAATTTAGGATTTGTGGCTAATTTTGAGATGCCCGCAACTTGAATGACTGAGCTGTCAAGTCCAAAAAATTATTACTATTATTAACCCTATTATATTACAGGAAACAACATCATGATAGACAAACTCTGTTTAGCTCTATTTCTTCTGAAAACCTTTAACCTGAGCTCCAGGATACTTTTACTCCTGAAGACATAACTCAAAACCAATCAATGAGCTTTTAACAAAAGCTAACCATGCACCACTGCTTATGTGTCCTGCACATGTATGTTTGTCTTTATCAGTCACAATTTCTCCATGTTAAAATATATTCTGTATGTGATACAGTAAGGAACCTTCCTGGAGTCATCCGTGACCTGCAGAAGTATTCTGATGAGGTTGTTTTGGGTTTTATTCATGGGAATTAAAACACAAAATTCTGAATGAAAAAACAAAGGATTCCAGAAGAAAGCCCCCCCCCCCCCCCCCCCCCCCCCCCCACCACCACCACCACCACCACCACCACACACACAAAAGAAAACAAAATTACATCTACTATGTTCTGGAATACTTTGACTAAGCAGGCTCCATGGATGACCCACAGGTTCTTGACTGGTCACTTCACCTGAAGTCTGTAACAAGAGTCTGCATGGGAAGGCTGAACTCAATGGAGAAAATGCTTCTCACAGATTTGATTATTTTTTTGTGTTCTTTAGGATTTCTGTGCATTTGCATCAATTTTATTTAAAATATTTTGTTCTTATTTAAAATTATAAATTTTGAGTTGAAAATATAAAATTAAAGTATGTAAATATATTATTTTCAACATTTCATACATGGACAATTTTTTGATTGAATTTTATGTAGTAATTTTGCTCACACACACACACACACACACACACACACACACACACACACACACACACACACACACACACACACACACACACACACACACACACACACACACACACACACACACACTTTTTATTGAATTTCCACCCCTCTATGGGACCTCCTTGGTTCAGCCTACATGCAGTATGATGTGTTTTGTAATGTTGATTTGTTCACACTGAATGTTCCTGCAATGATTTCTTAACTTCAGTTCTTTGACTGAAGTCTTTGTCACTGCCTCACCAGAATATTTGCTTTCACTATTTCCATTTTGTTCTGTTTCTCTCTCTTTTCTTAAAGCACAAGATTCAACTGATCTAGTATTCTTAATTGATGGATCACAGAACGTTGGAGCAGCCAACTTCCCCAGTGTGCGCAATTTGGTTGTGAGAATCATTGATCGCCTGTCTGTGGGCAGGGATCAGATTAGGGTGGCCTTGGTCCAGTACGACAATGACCCCGACATAAAGTTCTATCTAAATAGCTTGTACGACAAACCCCAAGTCCTGGAAGAGGTGAAGGGCCTGACCTACTCAGGGGGCGATGAGTCGAACCTGGGGGCTGCCTTGGAGGAAGTGGCCAGGAGCCTTTTGACTGACACAACTGGGAACAGAGCAGATGAGGGGGTTCCCCAGGTTCTGGTAATTATCAGTGCTGGGCCATCCAGTGATGATACCAGTGTCGGTCATCGGGCCCTTAACAGGGCTGGTGTTTTCACAATAGGAGTGTCGATTGGTGACGCTGCCACTGCCGATCTGGAAGAGGTTGCCACAGATAGAAGTTTTGTCCAGAAAACCTCTGATTTCAGAGCACTTGCAACCGTTGGTGATCAGCTTGTCCGCGACATTAACCGCTTCGCCCAGGGCACCATTATAACTCAGAATCAGTTCACTGAAGGTATGTAACTTCTTAAAAACATGGTGGGGTACTACAGGTGGGGAAGTGCAAATAATCAAATAAATGCCTCAAGCGCTAAAACATGAAAGAATTGAAATGTTTCCCCTTCATTTAAAAATTATATAATATAACCATTAAGTGTTTCAGGGTAGCTTCAAAACTGCAGGAGACTGAACCAGCTTTCCATAACATGTTTCTACAAAAATCAATTCTGCTAGACACCAATAAAAATGTATTTCTCAACAATTTCTAAAAAAAACAGAAAACAACCCCCCCCCCACCAAAAAAAAAAACTAAGATGAAAGACATACTGCAGTAAAAGTGAATACTTTGAACAGTAATTCGGAATAGGTTGAACAGATTTAAATGGAAGAAACAGTCTCATGCTTAACTATACAGGTGTAAAGTGACCCAAAACCAGAAATTAGCCTCCAATTAAATAGTGGCTAGCCATGGGTATTGCTCTGGTTGGGAGACAATCATCTGGTTTAACAGACTCCGCCCAATTTAAGGGACATCATATTCAAGTAGGGTACCCGTTTCAAAAATCCAATCCTGTGAACTGTCTTGTTTCAGTTTTACCAAACCGTGTCTTTATTCCTTTGCAATTTATTCTCATTTTGTTAGCACTTTTGTCACAGTAAGAATATCATCCCTTAGATGACTCTGTAGCTGATTTAAGAGAACATTAGTCTTGTACCTTCTTTGTACAAGTTCAAAAATCTACAAGAGCAAGGGACAGAGAGCTCACGAAGAACATGAGAACACCCTCAGAGGTCTTGAGTCCTCTTCTAAACTACGTTCTGGATTTGGTGCCAGAAGTTGCAGCCGAGTGAAATACTGGAGTTAGACCTCTCAAAACCATAACCACATCTTTTGTACTTGCTACAATTCTATAATCTATAAATCTATAACATTTCATATACAGGAAACATTCATCCAGAATTTATAGTTTATAAACAATAAACTGCATTAATGTGTTGCATATATTGCAATCATTAAAAATTAAATTCATCAGTAGTTAAACCATTCATTCTTTTTTTTTTGTTCTACTAAAAAAAATCTATGCTTACAACAGAAATTCAGGTCAATAAAAACATTTTGTCTATTTAGGAATACACTTATTATGATAAGTTTTACATTTCTATTCATAAATGCAAAACAAACAGAAATATTACAAAATTACTTTATTTTTACCCTTAACAAATTTCTAAATTGCCTGAAAATAGTCTAGATAATCAGAAACAAATATCCTTGTAGAGGTTTGATCGTATAATTAAAGCATTTGTTACGATAAAAGTTTAATGTCTCTTTTGTTTGTTTTCAGTTGTGATGGTTGGAAAACGAGACATAATTTTCCTGATCGACAGCACAATGGGAACCGGGGTCATCAACACTCTGCGTGAATACATCAGGCTGTTTGTCAACACCAGACCAATTGGTCCAAATGCCGTCCAAGTGGGTATTGCCCAGTTTTCCTCTGCCCAGAGACTTGTGATGGACCTGAACACTTATGGAACCAGGGAGTCTATAACCTCTGCACTGGCCAATATCCGACCGAGACCGGGACAAAACATCAACATCGGCGCAGCCTTGAACTTTGTGAGAGACAACATGTTGAAGCCTGAGAAGGGCAGTCGCATCAATCAGGGCATACCGCAGCTGGTGATGTTGTTGACCAGTAAAAAGTCCAGTGACAGTGTGGATGAGCCTGCTCAGGCCCTGCTTGAAATGGGTGTGTTGACTCTGGCTGCAGGCACCAGGACTGCTGACCAGGCCGAGTTGGAAAAGATTGCGTTCAGTGACAGAGTAGTGTTCATGTCAAAAGACTTCCGACAAATGTTTCAAAATGCTGAAGAAATCACTGATGCACTGTCGACTCTAGCTGGGACAGTGGTGACCGAACCACCAACTGATCCAGGTAATTCATGGCTGTGTAGTTTCACACCAAACTTTAAACAAAAATTGTGGGAATTTGTCACGATCAGGGAATGGTTGGACCCAAGTTCAGGAACCCAGACAAAACAGAGAGATGGTGCAATGAAAAAAAACCAAAGTCTATTTCTGAGCGGTCAGGTAGTCCATGGGGGGTTGGAACAAAACTCAAAGAACTCTTGGGAGGCTAACTCGAAACTGGAAACTCAAGAACTAGAAACTCAGGAATACGGGAGGCAACAGGTGTGACATTCATGCAGACCCCCACAATGAACCAACAAACACTGAGGCCCTGTCCACACGTAGCCGGAGATCTGCCAAAACGTAGATATTTTTCTACGTTTTGGCCTGTCATCCACACGAAAACGGAGTTTTTTCACACGAAAACGGATCTTTTTAAAAACTCCGGCCAAAGTAAAGATCTGCGTTTTCTCCGTTTTGGGTGTCTGCGTGTGGACAGACAAAACCGGAGTTTTAAGGTCCGCAACGTCACTTTCCGCGACAAAAAAATGCTGACATCACGTGCGACCTGTGTTTACACTAGCCGACATCATGGAAGCCCTCAGAGCTGCGCTCTGTCACTACCCGATCCATCAATCGTCCAAGCGCTTTTTGCTTGTTTGTTTTTGCAAGCGGAATTACTGCTCCTTGCGGAAGACCACAGACGAAGGACGAGGTTAAGAACGGGGAAGTACTGCCGCCTACAGGTCTGGCATGTCCTTAACAACGTATTTATCCGGGTACGTGTGAACAGAGTTTAGTTTTAAAACGAGGTGGTGTGGATGCAAGTTTTTGGAGGGGCGGATATTGTTTTTAAAAAACCCCGGCTACGTGTGGACTAGGCCTGAGAGACAAGACAGGGTTTTATTCACAAGGGGCAGTGATCAAGGGATCAGGAGCAGGTGTGTGGGGATTGAGAGCTGATGGAAGACAGGTGAGATTAATTAACTAAATGGGGAGGCAAAACAAAGTAGAGGAGGAAACTAAATCATAAAACCTGTAAGACAAAAACTACTGCACCAAAACTAACCTAAACCTGTAGGACTAAAAACACTGAAGAACTAAATTTAAATAATCAATGACCTGAAGAGTTACAGAACTAAATATAAGACATGGAAAACTGAAGATGAAACTGGGACTCTGGGTGAAGGAAATAACTGGGAGTTATAGAGACAGGAACCAAGGGCAGGGGGAATTCTAAAAAGACACAAGGAGTGAGACAAAAAGGAGAACACAGGCACACAATGTGACAGGAATTAGTGTTTGTAATCATTTTACATTGTAATAAATATTATATTGTTGGAAAGCCAGATTGGCTACCTTTACTAGTTAGAACGTGTAAGAAACCCAGCTAACCCTAACCCTAGTCTTCTTGGTTGTCTTCAACTCCTGTAGAACGGTGAAACTAAGTTAACCAGCACAACAAATTGTGTTATCAATAGGCATCAACAGACCTCTTAGCTCAAGATGATTTCACGTGAGACCCAGAGAGTGATTTCTGTGTTTTTCTGTTTTCCCAGTGGAGGAGAAGCAGAAAAAAAAGAGTCTCCGAGACATCGTGTTTCTTTTGGATGGCTCAAACTACATTGGAAGCTCTAACTTACCCTACGTGAGAGACTTTATGATCAACGTCGTCAACCAGCTTCAGATAGGTCCTGACCAGAACCAAATTGGTCTTGTGCAGTTTGCTGAACAGCCAAGAATAGAGTTTTATCTGAACACGTATAGTAACAAGGCTGATGTGGTGGACAAAATCTCTCAGCTCAGGTTGACCGGAGGCTCAGTGTTGAACATGGGAGCTGCTATGGGCTACGCTTTGAAAAACATGTTCCAACCATCCGCTGGTTTCCGTGAGAGTGACGAGGTCCAGCATGTGTTGATTCTTATCACGGGTGGCCCATCCCAAGATGAGATAACAATTATGGCTGATAGACTGGCTCTGGAAAGCATTCTGACATTCACAATCAGTTCTGGACAAGCAAATCAAAATGACATGAAGAAAATAGCCTTTGTACCAAGTATAGCTCACCATGTAGAACGCTTCTCCGAAATTCCAGCTTTGGCAGATGTCATATTTCCAGATCTAGTAACCTTGGTTGGTATTACAGACATAACTGAATCCGAGGGAAATGGTTAGTTTTTATATTTCTCTTCTTTCATCTGTTTATTATTGGTAACTTAAACTTTGCCCAAAACATATTTTGTTTTCTCTCAGTCATTACAGGAGCTGAAAGGGACGTTGCTTTCTTGATTGACGGCACAGACAGCGTCCGAGCAGATTTCCCCTACATTCGGGATTTTATTATGAAAATTATTCAACCACTTGACATCGGAGAAAATGGCGTACGCGTTTCAGTGATCCAGCACAGTGAGAGGCCAACTCCAAATTTCTACCTCAACACTCATAAAACCAAAGAGGAAGTGATAAGAGCTGTGAACCAGTTGCAGCTAGCTGGTGGCCGTAGCTTAAACACAGGAGCTGCTCTGAAATTTATGAAGGACGTCGTCATGTCTGAAGGCTATGGTAGCAGATCTGCTCAGGGCGTCCCTCAGTTCTTGATTGTTCTGGCTGCAAACAGAGCCATGGATAACGTCAAAGAACCAGCTGGTGAACTGAAGACAGAGGGAGTTGTACCATTTGGTGTTGGTGTCAAGAATGCAGATCGGAGACAGATTGAAGAAATTTCACACAATCCTTCTTTTGCCTTCACTGTGAAAGAATTCAGCGAACTCAGCACCATACCTCAGAAGTTGAACAACTATGTGAGTCTACCAAAGGAACAGCTTACAGTGGTTCTACAGGAAGGTAAGACAAGAATAAATCCTCTTGAATCTTCTGCTAAACGTGCTGTGAAACATTTGTTTTCTGATGTTTAAAATAACTGAACATATCTGTGTCATAGTGCAAAATGATGCTGTAAAAAGAGATATTGTGTTCCTGCTGGATGGCTCTGATAACACCAGAGATGGATTCTCAGACATAAAACAATTTGTTAAGAACATTGTTGAGAGCCTTTTTGTTGATGAGAGCCTGGACAGAGTTTCTGTGGTCCAGTTTGCTGACAACACTAAAGTCAACTTTTACCTAAATTCTCACAAGGCAAAGAATGACATTATAAATGCTCTTGATAACTTAACACACAAAGGTGGGAGGCGACTCAATATTGGTGCAGCGCTCCAGTTTGTGAGGCACAGAGTCTTTACTTCCTCCACTGGCAGTAGAAGGCTCGAAGGAGTGCCTCAGATTTTAATTCTCCTCAGTAGCAAACCGTCTACGGACAGCATGAGAGCACCGGCGTTTGCTCTTAAGGAACATGAAATTGTGTCATTTGGTGTCGGAGTTGGAAACGCCAGCGTTGGAGAAATGGAAATGGTTGCATTCGAACCTGGTTTTACATACAAGGTGGCTGATGTCTCCAAACTACCATTGGTCCAATCGCAGCTTCTAACTGCTCTGAACATGAACCGAAATAATCAGGGAACCGTGAGTGGGATCTCTGATTTAGTAGGTAAGAACACCACATTCATATATTTGTTTGCTTTAGAAAATTTTAACTTTCGAAAACTTTAACTCCTAGAATCTAAAGACTATTAAAGCTTCCTTCTGGGGTGTTTCTCTTATTCGATGGCACCATCTAGTGGCTGACAAGCATACCACAAAAAAAAAGCTTTTGCTCTGTTTTTTAAAGATTGTGACTTCGTGTTTCTGTTTATAAATGTGCTTCTGTAGCCGACAAACAGCTAAAACACGTAATTTTATGAGCATTATTCTCATATCATGCTGTGTTCTCATAAATTTATATTTTAGAGACTTTCTTGTCCGTGAAAAGTTCATCAACTCTGCATCAGCCGAGGTATTCCTTAAATTTGAAACAAGTAAGCGGTAGTCTAACGCTATTGGCTAGTTCTGGTTGGCACTCAGTTTCTTATTGCACAGAGCTCTGCGGGGCAGGGGGAGTGGTTAGCAAAAAATAAATAAATAAAAGACGTATTGCTTACATTTTATCACAGTGCATAAGATAATCACTTTTACGGATTTCTGAAAAATCATACATCATTTCTGAAAGGGGAAAACTCCGAAAAGCTGCTTTAAGGTCGTATTATTGTGACAACGTCGTTGTACTCGTCTTTCCATTTATACCAATATTGTAGTAATTAAGCTCGATTCTCTCTCACATCGAAGACTAAATATTTAGAGGACAATGACAAACTTGTTGAATATTTTTAACTGATTTTTATTTTCACATCCTCATAAATTTGTTTGAGTTCATTAAAGTCTAACAGCTTGTGAACCCTCTTTTCATGCATCGACCAGTTCAAACTCAGAACATTAAAAGGGACGTAGTGTTTCTCCTTGATGGGTCTGATGACACCCAAAACGGACTTCAGCTTTCCACACGTTTATCAGGAGAATGGTAGAGGAGCTGGATGTTAGCCAAGATGAGGTTCGATTAGCTGTTGTGCAGTACAGTGATGACTCCAGAGTTCACTTCATTCTAACCACTCACAGATCGAAAAGGGACGTCATTCGTGCTGTTAGAGGTCTTCAGCATAAAGGTGGAAGACTTCGTAACACTGGAGCTGCTTTACAGTTTGTTCAAGACCATGTTTTCACATCTTCATCTGGCAGCAGACACTTGGAGGGGGTTCCTCAGATTCTGTTTTTGCTGACTGGAGGAAAATCTTGAGATGACGTTTCTAGCTCTGCATTCAACCTGAAGCAAGCTGGTGTCATTTCTTTTGCTATTGGAATGGAAAAGGCGAAACAAGATGAACTGCAGACGATTGCATTTCCGTCCAGATTCCACTTTAACTTTGTCTTTGGGGAATTTTTGTCCATTCAGCCTGAGTTAGCTGCTTTCATTCAAGCGGAAATACAAGCTCAACCTCCTACTCCTGCTGGTAACTGATAGCTGAAAATCCAGCAGCTTTGGCTTCTTGTGCATCATCTTGCTGAATTTTAATCGCAATGAAACTGTATCTTTACTGAACATCAGTTGATCAATTTCCTGGTTCTTATGATCTTCTTTGCAAGATGCAACATCATGCTAATGTTGTATTTGCTTTTGTCATTTTGCAACATGCACTTTGGAGAGACTTTCATGTATCTTTCCGCTCTTCCTTGAGCCATTGATAAAAAGCATCATTGGCAGAAAAGTGTTTTTGAAGACTTCTTTACTTCTTTTAATCTTTCATTTTTGAAAGAAGCACAATCATCTTCATTAAAGACTTTAGTCATTTAACACTTTATTTTGCTTTAGTTGTTTGTCAACTATTGACTTTGCCACTCATGTAAGGTGTACTGACTGCAATGTGGTACATTTTATCTTTTGCATTATGTCTAATTCTTTCTTTTATTCTGTTTTTAGTTGAATTAGAGTCTCCCCAGAGAGACATCGTGTTTCTGTTGGACGGATCAGATGACACACGGAGCGCTTTCCCAGAAATGAAAACCTTTGTCCAACAGGTGGTAGAAACACTCAGTGTCAGTAAAAACAAAGACCGTGTTTCTGTGGTTCAGTATAATCAGCATCAACAAACACATTTTAGTCTGAACACCTACACAGATAAACAAGATGTTATTAATGCCGTCCAGCTGCTGCGCCATAGAGGGGGCCGAGCTCGTAACACTGGAGCAGCTCTGGACTACGTCAGAATGAATACTTTTGCTGAGTTCTCAGGGAGTCGACATCAGGAGGGTGTTCCACAGATACTGATTCTCTTGACCGGGGGAAGATCCCTGGATGATGTCCCCAGAGCAGTTGCAGCTCTAAAAAACGAAAAGATTGTTCCATTCTGTGTGGGCACAAGAGCTGCTGACATCATTGAGATGCAGATGATTGCACATAATCCTTCTTATGCCTTCTCCATACCTAGTTTTGACAATATTGGGAGCATTTTTCAACAGCTTGTGTCATTTGTGAAAAGGGTGCCACGACAGCAGCCCACAGAAAAAACGAGTGTCTTAGGTAAGGCTTCTTATACGTCTAACCATAACTGTGATAACTCAGCTTCATCATGAATGCATTTTCATGTCTGTAAAGGTTTAAGAGAACAACAAACATCTAAGCAACGAGATGTTGTGTTTTTACTGGATTCTTCTGATGGAATGAAAAGTGACTTCAAGGCAGTGCTTGGCTTTGTTGAAAGAATGGTGGAGAAACTCAATGTGGATGAGAGCAAAGACCGAGTTTCTGTGGTTCAGTTCAGCGCAGACGCTTCGGTTGAGTTTTTTCTGAACACACATCAAACCCAGCATGATGTTGCTGACAGGGTGAAGAATCTAAACCACAAAGGGGGCAGTCCTCTCAACACTGGTGCAGCGCTGAATTACGTCAAGGATAAAGTCTTCACAGCTAGTTCTGGGAGTAGGCTCCAGCAAGGTGTTCCCCAGATCCTGGTTCTTCTCACTGGTGAACGTTCCAGCGATGATGTCAGAGAGGCTGTGGAAAACCTGAGAGAAGTTGGTGTGAAGGTGTGTGTGGTGGGAATAAGACGTGCAGACATCCTGGAGATGCAGTTGATTTCACAGGAAGCCAGTCATGCTTTCTTGGCTGCAGATTCTAGTGACCTGTCAGACATTGAAGAACAAATATTCTCCACCATTGAGAGGAGTCGGAACTCTGTAACAACAATGGCATCATTTGGTAAGATTTTAGCATCTAGAGCTATCACAATCTGCCCACTATGCTTGATTGAGATGTATTGAGTATCTCAGAAAGATAAAAAGCTGAAGATGAAGAGTTTGTATTTCCCCGCTTAAAGGTTAAAGTTAAAATGCTGAGCAAGCTGTCTGAATGTTGGGTAAAAACTCTGAAATAGTTTTCTTCTGAGTCAAAGTGAGGAAGCTAACCCTACAGTTCTCCTTAACCCTGCTGTATCTGGATGTTCATACTTTCATAACCTGGGTTAGCGTCTCCAGGGTAAACTACAAATACCATCAGACCTGACCTGGTTAAATAAAGGTTGAAAAAAACAAGATGTTTTTGTAGGAATAAGACTATGTGCAGTCTTAACTCCTGCAGCAGCTTCTACAATAAAGTAATAAAATAAAATAAAATAAAAACTATAATAAATTCTTTTAAGAATATGTCCCAAAAGTTAACCTCAAAACACTCCCAAAACTCACAAACTCATAAAAATAGTTCATGATTTGACTTTATGTGTTATTTGGAATTTATTATAGTTAATTTTATTGTCAGCATTTAGATTTCAAGGCAAAGTTATTTAAATTTCTGTGTGATTTCAGATTCCAGCGGAAGAGACATTGTGTTTTTACTTGATGGCTCTGATGATTCCCAACAAAGATTCCCTGATATTATAGACATTGTCCAGACAATCCTGAGAGAGCTTAACATTGACTCAAACAGAGACCGCGTGGCTGTGGTCCAGTACAGCAACACAGCTGAGATGAACTTTGACTTGAAGCGATATGTAACTGAAAATGATCTTCTGAAGGCCCTAAGGGGTCTGACTCACAAAGGAGGCTATCCTAAAAACATTGGAGCTGCTCTTCAGTATGTGAGAGAACATGCATTCACCCCTGAGTCTGGAAGTAGGCTCCAGCAGGGAGTTTCACAGATACTGGTACTACTGAGTGGCGGACGATCGGACGATGAAGTTAGAGCCCCAGTAAGGCTTCTAAAGGAAATGGGTGTGATTGTAGTCGCCATTGGAACAACCGATGCTGACACCCTGGAGCTACAGACAATATCTCATGAACCCAAATACACACTTTTAATTTCTGATTATGAAGAACTTCCTATAGTTAAACAGCATGTCTTGGCGTTGTTAAATGAGGCTTCCCATCCCGTTGTGCACACTGGTCCCACGGTAGATTTTGGTAAGATGATTTCAAACTAAGGTTTTGTTTTATTACAAATGATATATTTATAAATTTATGCAAAACAATGTTTTGGCTCTCCTGTTAACTAAATCACATGGCATTTCTTTTCCTTCATATGTTTTGTCTTAACTGCAGCCTCAAAGAAAAGTGATGTAGTTTTTCTAATCGATGGATCACATGACTCCAGGAATGGCTTTGGAGAGATACGAGCCTTTGCTGAACGAATTGTTGAAAATTTAAATGTGAGCAACAACGGAGACCAAGTAGCTGTTGTTCAGTACAGCCGCGACGCTACAGTTAATTTCTACTTGAATTCCTATTCATCCAAGAATGATGTGCTCAGCTCCATTAGGACAATGAGACATAAGCTGGGACAGCCTCTTAACATAGGAAAAGCACTTGAGTTTGTCAAAGAAAACGTCTTTGATGCCTCTGTTGGAGGCAGAAGGGCAGATATGACCCCCCAGTATCTGTATGTGTTTAGTGGTGGCAGGTCTGGAGATGATGTCAGAGCACCAGCACAGGCCCTCAAAGACAACGGAATCAAGATATTTAGCATTGGAACAAAGAATTCAGACACTTTGGAAATGCAAACTATCTCACACACCCCCGCATATTATTTTCATGTTTCAAGCTACGCCCTTCTGCCAAGCATTTATTCAT